GCCTGCCTGCGCGCCAGCGCGCCAGCGCGCCAGCGCGCCTGCCTGCGGACTATGAAAGCAGCCAATGAGGTCATCGGATGAGAGGCACTATAACGTCATGCCTACCATTACAATGGGAGAAATAGGAACTTATCATTACTATATATAAAGCGCTAACGTCTATCTGTTTATTTGTACAGAAATTCGATATAACTTGAAGAAACACCTGCAGAAGTCGGGTCAAGTTTATAATGGGTTGAGAATAGGGTAAGTGCAACGGAGCACATGTGAGCCTAGCGGGGCTCCGCCCCCAAGGGGCTGGACATGCGCCCGGATTGGGTGGGGTCATGGGCGAATTCTTCTGATTCGGTCTCATGACATTCCAGACACCGGAAAAAATGTTCAATGGTGAAGGATGGGTCAACAATTAAAATCGAGGGAACTTGCCGGCAGTGGGCGGGGCGTTCTCGCGGTGGGCGGTATTTTCTACAGAGATACATAACTCGATTCAACGAAGGCGTCGATGCCAGGGAAAAAATAAAAAGAGTGAGCAAGGCCTAATGCGTGCTGGGCAAGCCTAAGTACAGCGAAGCCCCGCCCACGAGGGGCGGGCGTGCGTTGAAGTAAAGCTACTTTTCAAAAATGAGTGTAACTTCGTTCGGAGACGTTCTAGAATGCGGGAAAAAGTGGTTAAAGGTAATGGAACAAATGTGGTCAAATTCTCGAAGTGGGCGGAGTTGGCATTAAAGTGGGAGGGGCTTAGATCAAAAATTTATAACTCTATTCAAAAACGTTCTGGGATGCGGCAAAAAGGCATTAAGATGTAAATGAACAAATGTGGTCAAACCCCAGAAGTAGGCGGGGTTGGCACTAAAGTGGGCTGGGCTTAGATCGAAAATTTATTCGCAAACGTTCTGGAATGCGGGAAAAAAGTGGTATGACGTAGTAGAACAAATGTGGTCAGATCCCAGAACTGGGCGGGATTGTCACAAGTGAGCGGTGTTTTCATCAAAATTATTAAGTTTTTTCAGATGCGTTTTAGAACGCGGGAAAAAGGTGTCTGGAGGTAATAAAAGTAATGTGATTCGAAGTCTGAAGTGGGTGGGATTTGCAAAGAGGGGAGGGGGGGGGGCTGAGATCAAAAAATTCGTACATCTTTTCTTCACACTAACCCTGACTACATAGGTGTGCAACTAGGAGATGCCATTAAACTCTTTCAAAAATTGGGCTTAAAGCTTCTAAAAGTTAGTATCCATGGTTCCACACATAGTGGTCCCTTCTACCCATGAGCAGATGCGTGTAAATGTGAATGTAAAGACGTGTACATCCCTACAACTACCCAAAGGGGCTTTCCTTTCAAAATTAGTGTACATGACCACACGCAGCCCAAACTGCACAGGGTTTCTTCGACTACATGGACTGCAGAGGTATTTGATTTGGATACATTGGAGTACTCTTCATGGCTACACAGCCCCTTTTCACATACCAAAAAAAAATGATGGCCGCTACAGAAGCGTCCTGGAAGAGGCTCAGACGATAAAGGTCTAAAATGAAAATCAGAAGCTCATGTGGCTCGGGGGACGGTCAAGTCGCGCGTCCGAGGCCACGCGTGGCAAATTGATCGAAGAATTTCGAGGCATTTCAAATGACGCTGGCGCCTATTACCTATTATTGAGGCACAAATTTGAAGTAGAGTGGCTTAGTATGGTCAACTGATCGTATCAATCTACTCTACCACAGATTTGGACCCAAATGATAGGCGCTAAAGACGTTCAAATCGTCACGAACTTCGCCGCGCAGTTTGCCGCGCGCATCCTCGGACGCACGACTTGACACACACCCATGTGCTCCGTCCCTCGTGGCTAGAGCCCCTAGCGCGCGCAATAGCGTGCGTAGCCGCCTGGTATAAGATAAGTGAAACAAAAATGACCAACTATGCATGTTTACAGAAGATTGCGTTTTCCAGGATCAAAAAATTTGAAGTTATTCTTATTTTGAACGTCTGTTAAGTGTATTTTTGACCTGTGAAGTGAATTTTTAGTGTCGAAGGGCATAATTGCCATAGTAAAGAGACTTGCACTAATTCATGGTGAAACCGTGGACTACTGCAAATTTATTTGGTCCATCTAAACAGAACGGTACTGAAGCGATGCTGCTTGTACGAAGAGCTCTAATGGGGTTACGCGTGGATCGCGCGCCCGCCGAGCGACTGCGGTCTCGACGATATGGTGCCAGTGGTTGAAGCTAGAAACAATCGGCAGAAGCTAGTTTGAAAACCATTTATATGATCGTCTCTACATAACAACCACTGTGTCATCTGCCTCAACTTACAAAAGGTGACTGCATGGCGTCAGGGGTGATCTAGGTGGTTTCATGCAACCTCTACGAACACGAACATTCACGTGAGACCGTACGATCTTGATTATATTATACAATAGGTTGAGGAGCACCTGTTTGATCTGAAGAGATCGAAGCCTCTGACTCCTCTGTGAAACCATCAGAGGCAGTGCCACGAAAATATAAAGTTTGAGGTGTCAGTAAGAACGTGCATGCGGAAGCCACGACTTACGCGCGGGGAACTCGGGAAGCACTCTGAGTGAGGGGAAATTAGTGGAAATGATCGGGAAGAAGAAGAGCTTTTAAATGCACTCACCCCGTTCCTGACCTGTGTAGGCTACAGTTGCCACCTGTGTTTTCCATATCTTAGGTGGTTCCCAGTTGTGAATAAGGAGACCTTTTCAGATATTCATGGGCTATACTTGAGCTAAGTTGAATTCTGACATGGGGTTTGACAAGAAAGGATCTTAAATAGTTTTCACTTTCAGACTCTGACAAGTCGACGGGGCCGAAACGTTAGCTAAATGGGCTTTATAATTTCTTGGCTGATATTTCACAAGACCCTCGCACAACGAAATCCATGTGATGCCAAGACTTGCTGAGAGTCGGTCATGATCTCTGTAGAAATTTCGAGTTTCCACGGCACCCCCTCTCCCCTTCTATAGCTTTCAAAAAAAGTAGAGCATTCAAACATGATGAAGGTATGGCAGGTATAGTCTGAAGTGCGCTGTTTTGATATCTGACGATTTTGGTGAATGAAGATCGATAGATATCAATCTGTTTTGTAATCGGTCAGACCTTCACGGTTCAGCTTGTTTGTCTGAGCACGAGGTATTCAAACACCATAAGGGTGAAGCACATCTGGAGGAATCGCGATATGATGTTGTAAATATAGTCCTGCAATAGTGATAGATATATGAATGTTGTGTATTTGACCGGGTGTTCACGACTTTCTCCTTTCAGATATCATTATGAAAGTTGCACAGCAAGGTTTTCAACCGATGTCGAACAATTAGTGCCAATGACTGTCGATTTAGTGTGTGAATCACCTTTTTTCACAGCTCTGCTAAATCGAAACATGGAATGATAACGTGTAGATTCGATAAGATTCACGCTGTGAGGACACCGGTTGATACACCGACACTTTTGGTCACTGCTAATTTCTGCCACACATTATTTCGGATGAAGGGGGGGGGGCGATTTAGGCGTGATCCCATTGGAGCTCTTCGCGCACGCAGCATCGTTTCAGTACCTTCCTGTTGAGATGGGCCAAATAAATTTGCAGTAATCCACGGCTTCACCATGAATTATAGCGAATCTCTTTACTATAGCAATAAAGCCCCTTAGAGATTAGGAGTTTACCTCGTAGGTCTACAATTTACTTGTCAAACTTCTGAAATAAGAATAACTTTGCATCTTCTGATTTTAGAAAACGCAATCCTCCTGTAAACGTGCACAATTGGTCATTTTTTACTTGATCAGCTTATAATTTCTTGTTTCTTCCATTATGACGGTAGGCATGATGTTCTAGCGTGTTTTGTCCGATGACCTCATTATATTGACGCGTGAATCGCACCACATCCTTTCGGATGTGTCTACATATAAGACCTCAATTTAGAATCATCGTTGCAGTTTGAACGCGTACGAGGCTTGTACTGTTATTGGCGGTCACTTGTACGATTCACTGCTTTTATCCTCCCAGACACTTCTGGCACCAATTCTCCACACCTCCTAGTGGTGGAAAAACCGGTTGGTTCGAGCGGTTATCATTTTCGGATTTGAACCCAAGACGTGCGTGAGTAATAGAGCAGCAACTGTCACTACCACACCTCCGTCCCATCGTCAACACAGGTGGCGTTATTTAGCGTTTTGCCCGCTGAGTCCTTCACCATCACATCAAAGGCACAGTTCACGGTAAAAGTAGCTTCTGAGATATCTCTCGAGGACGAACTTGTGACCTTAACCAAGGGACGCTAAGGGGCGAAAAACGGCCTAGATAGGGTGAAGCAGGGGCCCAAACCGGCTCAGTCGACGCGCACACTCTAAGACAGAGTTTTTACTCTGTTTAGGTTGCACCATTCGTACCGGGACGCACACGTTGCACGCAGGCAGCTTACTGTAGTCAGCTGCACACTACGACACACTATTCGAACAGCTCGTCGATATACTTCCTCCATGCAACCTTTTCGTCACATTATCGTCCAGCCCGTAAATTACTATTTTTCGAAGACTTTTCCTTCTAGATACCCAAAAGTTACCGTGAGCTGTGCGGGGTAAATAGTGTAAGATACGGGTTGCGTGCCAATTTTTTTGTTGAGTTCCTACAGCTGCCCTTTTTCGTTGTTCGAAGATGTTCGACGTTACCAGAGCATGTTTTAGAACGCTGATCAAGTCTTTGCATGGTCCTTCCAAAACCACTAAAAGACATTCAACATGAATGGTATTTGCGACTGAATGGTCTACAACTGCTACAATTTTGACTGTCTATTACCTGCTTGACTAGTTGCCAACGATTTTCATCGCCGGATGCTGTCCAACCACGAAGATAGAAGGGAGAGAAAGGAGACTTCTTATGCAAGTTCTACTATTACCAACCCTCCCCCAACCTTCATTTTATCCCTTTTCTGTGCAGTCGGAGACAGGGCTAGTCATCTCTCATTGTAAGCTTTCTTCACAAGTTTTTTTGTGAGTGCCTCCTTGCCCTTCACTGGGCTTCAACTATCTCCTGCATCGTCACCGCTCTTCTTGTGTTTTGCCATCTTGGAATCAGCAGCCCGATGTTGCGATTCTTAATTTAGAAGTCAAACCCAACAGGTGCCTTCCCTCTGAAGCATCACCTCATCTTTCCATGTCTCCGTCCATGTCATTCTATCGCTGAGTACAAATATAGAGTAAACTAATCCTGGCGTTTTGTGTACTCAGAGCATGTTTAATACGAGTTCAGTGTCAAGATTTCTTGAATAGAGCATGTGTACTGAAGTTTTTGTCCGAAATCTCCCCTACCTTGTCATTGCATAACGGGATTTCCCCAACGACCAGCTATTCACGCTTCGTTGAAAGAGCACATGCTTTCTCGAGCGAGTGTCTCTCATTTTGGTGTCGTGCAGTATCGCTGGATTGATGTCTTCACACGAATGATGGTACATGTTTTTGATTCACGAGCACAGGCAGTGTAGGAGCATATGTAGTGCGTACCATGCTACTTTTTCTTCGAAAACAATCTAGCCTCGCTAGAAAGCAATCTCGTTGTTATTGGGTGAACCTTCAACATTATAGTTTTCTTTAATACTCGTTTAAAATCAGGCTACACACGTCAGCGCGTGCACCAAATGCCAACTACCGCTCACTTACGACCTGTTAGAGTACCAATATAACCAGTACTTCCCGTTCCAAAACTGCTTCCTTACAGCGCTCACATGACATTCGGACTCTTCATCGTGAATACGTGACTTCCGGAAGGACGCACAAACCGACATACAAACAGACACACAAAGTTATCGCTTTATTTATAGATAGGTTTTTATAAGAACGAAATTTTGCTACGTTGGTAGTTTTCGTTGCATACAGCTGACATCCAAACAATCAAGTGGAAGTCTTTTGAGTGTTCCTTTGTGGATGATGAATGGTAGATCACACCGCAATAGCTTCTCGCCAAGAAAATCTCAATCCACGAGGCGATGAAGTGGTTGGAAATTAGTGTGGGTTTTTTAGTTCGTGCACGCGACTGGATGGACTCGATGGAAAAGATGCTAGGCGATTACCACTTCACTTGTAACGTGAACGAGATGGCCTTGGCTCACTCTAAGCACGGCGGAGACACGTATTACTACTATTTCACGCACAGGTTTGATCAGCAAAAGGTTGGCGGAGAAGTCTTTGCACATTTTGCAATTTTTTCGATTTTATTCTTTTCCTCCCCGACAACTAACAATTAATATATACCCTAAAATTCCATACATAAGAGCGGTTTAATTTACTGGTAAAAAATTAATGGGACTTATCTATGGAATTTTAGGGTATATGCACCGTCATTATCGACAAGATATTGCCAATTAGTAGGCAACTTGTGCATCTTGCATGCATAGAATTCGTGAGGTCTCGCGGAGAAGAACTAGCTATTGTACGTGTCGAGTTGATTCACATCATAGAATTTCTTATTTTTCGAATGGTTTGATAGCGTCAGGAGCAGGTAATGATCCGCTGGAGCCAGGCCTGTTGAATACGGTGGGTAGGCTAGAACATGCAATCCTGAGCTTTGAAGGTTCTTCTGGACCTCCTTCGAAATGTGTGGGCGAGCACTGTCACGGAGAAAGTAGACTTTTCCCTGTTTCCTCGTACTACGCGTCCAAGCCACTGGCGTTTCCTTATGTGGTTTCTTAGAAAACACACTTGTCGTAGCAAGTGATTAAGCCTTTCAGTTATGCGAAGAAGCCCCGGGAAGTCAACAAAATCAGGCATGAATCTCTCCTCATTGGGAGGTTGTGACCACCCAGCTCACAACTTATCTATATACCGTATCTCCATGTAGTTCCGAGGCAACGCGAATGAGCAGCTACTTTTTAGTTATGGCTGCTGAGCTCCTGTTTCAACTCGCGGATACTATACTTCAAATTTTCTTGAAACTGTTTCGGGAGGTGTTCGTCATTCGGTTCAACTGATCTTCCAGATCGTGGTTTTTCGGTCCTGTCAAAGGGACCATTTTTGAACTGTGGTACCAATTTCTTGTTGTGCTGTGAAAGACAATGGAAGATCCCATTGAATCACATATTTCTTGTCCCAAGATTTCAATTGACGTTGTTCCTGAACTTATAAAACAGCAGCAGTTTAACGTGCTTTGAGTCGAGAGCGATTATTGCAGCCATAACCGTTGCGAAAAGCTGCGGCAGATAAGGTGTGAAGAGCGCATTGGCGTGCACCTACACATGTTTCGCATTGAACGCTCCGAAGCAATCCCCTAAGATTTCACGACATGAGAACGAAAATGTGAAAAGACTTTCCCGCCATCCATAGATTGTTTATGTGTGCAATGTATTGGGTGAGAAATACTTTCTTTCGTCCAATGGCATTTGACTTTGCAGAGCAACGGCGCAAACATGGCCTGAATGGATGGGCTGCTTACACGGCTATGAAATCAATTTCATTTTCGGAGAACCGTTCAATAAGAGGTTCAATTACTCTACTGAAGAGCAGGAGCTGAGTAGCAGGTTTATGCGCTACTGGGCAAATTTCGCTAGAACTGGGTGATTAGTTTTTCAATTGATCCTTCAACCATATTGGGACACATCTTGACCTGATGTACGCATATTGAGAAATTTCAACGAAAAGTTTTGAATCGCTATCAACATTTTTTGATGAGAGACTACTGCTTATTCCGAACTCTGAACTTTTCCTCTTGAGAAGATTCTGAATTGGTTTTCGGTGTGGTGAGTGCAAGCTTATATTGGAGTATGTAATCATTGAGCCAGTAGCCCTCCTCGTGTGGAATGCTAGGTAGACGTCTCTTCGTTCAGAAAAGCTCAACATTCCTACCATAGGGAAACCCGTTGCGAGCTGCATTTGACCTATATCCATATTAGGTAATCCGGTGAGTGATCGTTTCTTCTGAGCATCAGTTTTGTTGTCGAATTCATGTAATTTCATTATCTATGCTGGGTCATAGTTCATTAGTCCCATCTGTTTTCTGATATTTGTCAACTTGTGCAGTGGTAGCGCGACGTAAGACGCTATCATGTCCATGGTCCGACGATCGAACTCAAGACTGATGCCTTCTTGAATCAACAAATATGTTATGTCATCTTTATTACGCCGCTAAGGCAAACGTAGAATAAAAAGAATAACAATTTCCTGGAACAAACCTAAATAGCCGAACGTAGGAGCATGAGTAGTGATACGTAATCAAAAACAAAAAGAAACACGTAAAATACAAAAAAGAAAGGCAAATAGACGACTCCAAGGTCAGATGTAAAACAAGAGAGGAACAAGTGGTCAACCGCAAGGAACTATGATAACTCCTGCTCAGGTGGAAGTACTGCCACGTTAAGTTCGAACTTAAGCAAGAAATCAGAGTGCCCATGTTTTTCTTATCTTTTGTAATGACTAGAGGCACTGAATGTAAAGTTCTCGACTCTTGAAGTAATTGTGACCTTAGGAAAAATTACTCTAGCCTGATCACCTCTGGTCCGAGAGTGCGCCGTATTACAATAATCAAAAGAACCGAACATATCATTGTGGTACAGAAGTTTGTAAACCATACATACATCAAACACCTCGCGCAGTGATTCTCAGAGAGTTCGAAGTGCTCATTACGAATGGATGCTTTTGAGATTCTAGCATAGAAAAAACTCTCTTTGGCAGAGGATTTCACGCGTAAAATTGTTCTACGTCCTTTTCGAGTGCTTCAACATCCTTTTTCTTGCTAAGGAGGTGTCCTTTCAGGGCGTGGGACGTCTTTTTCAAAATTGTTTTTTGCATGGTGTAGGGGCATGAGCACTGAGTGCAGAACTATGGCCCATTCCCGCTGAATGACCTTCTAGATGCCAAAAAAGGAATGAAAATGATTCTGTCAGAAATTGCCGTTTTACCCCTCTAAGCGCCATTTGTTTCATAGATATCGTCGACTGTCCGTACAGTGGACGTCGCTAGTGGATTGCCGAATCCTCGAGGCGCTGCGGATTTTGCATATATGCTGCCAATTCCAGATTGGCTCCATATTGCACCAGGGTCATGTTCGCCTCTCGGTGCATCTGACGTGGGCAGCTGCGCTTCACCAACCGGCTCTGTTAGGGCAGAGCTGTGAGTCAGTACATAGTTGGCAATATTCTTCGGTATGATGCCCATGGATAAAATCCTGTGCGTTCGGCTGCGGATGTGGATTCCATCGAGGGAACTTCAGCCAGGCAGTGGGTTTTTGAGTTTGCGATCGAGATTTTCGTCTAAAGGAGCACATGTAGACTTGCCAATGACAAAATCATGGAATGGGTACCTGTTGCCACCGGCTTAGAGCTCTGTGCAGATAAAGCAATCTATGTGAGAATGAAACTATTTGGGCTTCACTGTGGTTTCGCACGATGAACTCAGAAAATGATGAAAGATCCCAGATATTTCGGCAATATTCAATTACGCACATAAATAACGTTAAAGGTCACCGCCAATGTACATACATACAGGTCACTGATTTTACCTCAACAGACGCTTTTGGTATTAGTCTTAGGGGCGAACAGGATGAGGAGGAATGCCATGTTCGACTCTCAATGAACCTCGGCATAGTTCCAATACAGCTT